CCACTCTCCTGAGAATAAATGGGTCTTTGCATATAAGAAGCATCCACATGTCTTACCAAAGGTAGGTACTGTTCTGGGAGCTTTAACTTCAGAATAGGAGGGTCAAGTGAGGAAGAGTCAGAGAAACCTCAAGGAGGCCCAGGCATCGTGTTGAATCTCCTCTAAGGCTCTATCACAAACAGAATCCATCCCTACAATCAGTATACAGTGTTCATGGAAGACTTCATGTACAGTCATAATGACAAATAATTATTAATGTGTTCATAAAGGCTGGCCGAGCCAGAGGGTGAAGGAGAGTGAGAAAGTGTAGCTAAAATTCCTTCTGGAGGAGTGTAAACAGATCTGCCCCCTCCTCCCTTGGTCCCTATGACAAACCATGGTACAATTTCATTAAACTACAGTCTGGGAAACCAGTGAGATTACTGGGCTTACAGAGCAATGCATGAGGGTTTACTTAGAGGAATGTGGGTGTTCCCTCCTAAGACCTCACTGGAAGGTCTTCATCCAAGTGTGGATAGCGACCTCCCCAGAGCCACACAAAATGGTGAGACAGTCTCCCCTTGGTTTCCTCAGTCTGTATATCCTTAGCTCTCCTCCTGGTACAACTAGGGCCTACTGGTTGGTTGGGAGGTGTAGCTGACTCTGCCTGCCCCTCTATTGGGGGGCATAACAGTCAACAAGCAAGGCAAGAGGATGCAACCAAGCTAGGGAAGATGGTGTCTGTCCATGGTCTGTCAGAGGACAGTCCTATGCAGCAGAAAGGTATCAAGAAGTGAGGGTCCCTAGAATCTTTCTTCACTTTTGCTCTCCTGACTTTCATCTACCTGACTAGAAAGTAGAGAAACGTTCAGAAGCAAATAAATATGCATCAGCCCAGAGGAAGTCCTCGGCCTCTGAGCAGCTTATCTGCCTTGTGGTACCTATGGACTAGGAACAAGGAGTTAAGAGGGAATGTGGTCAAAACAGTGCTGGATGTGGTGGCATAGGCCTGTAATCCCAGCACTTGGGGGTGGATTACAGGGATGGGAGGAGTTGGTAGTTCAGTGGCAGAAGGATAACTACGAGTTCAAGGCCAGCCTGGGCTAAAATAGTGAGATCATGTCTCAACATTTCCTTTGAAATAAGTAACAGCACTCTAGTTCCCTGGGCCTGCACCACCCACAGGCCTCTCTCCAGCTCCTCAGTGCAGTTCCCAGGAGCCCTTGGGGCCACTTCTCGCCCCCATCTTCCTTTGTATCTCTGGGAGGCAGAAGGATAACTACGAGTTCAAGGCCAGCCTGGGCTAAAATAGTGAGATCATGTCTCAACATTTCCTTTGAAATAAGTAACAGCACTCTAGTTCCCTGGGCCTGCACCACCCACAGGCCTCTCTCCAGCTCCTCAGTGCAGTTCCCAGGAGCCCTTGGGGCCACTTCTCGCCCCCATCTTCCTTTGTATCTCTGGGAGGCACAGCCACCAGCTGCCCTAGAGCAACATCTTTCCTGGGCCCAGCTCCCAGGCCAGTCCAACCCCCAAATTCCTGAGGCCAAAATATTTCCTGGAGGAATCCAGACCTTAAGAGAAAGCCTGAGAGCATCTGATCCTCATCTGACATGGGCCTTTGTGGGAACTCCTGAAGACAAAAGCAATTTGGTCACTCTAATATAAAATCAAAAGACAGAACCAGAAGCTTAGAC